TCGCCGCCGTGGCATCGGCGCGCTTCACCCAGGCCGTGTCTTGCCTCGCCGCGTGGCTGCGCCTCTCGTCGTGCATGGCCGTGTACTTGGCCTCCTCGGCGTCGCCGAGCCTGATGCCCTGGAACGGCTCTTGTAGACAGTCGATCATACACATACAACAGCACACCAAGGAAATCCATATTGCTGCTAGATGGGACGAGGTCAGGCGACGGCACGCCCTCGATCGCCCACGGGGACAAAGCTGTACTATGGTGGGTGGCGACGTGGCGTTCAGGGTCGGCTACGATGAGCAGGAAGGAAGATACGCGAGGTTGTTTGGAGAATTTGAATTGGGAAATCAGCAGTTTGGGGAATGCGTGTGCTACTGCTATACTCGGCGTGGCGGACCGGCATGCAGGCTCCTGCAGGTCTCTCGTTGTTTATTACTGCAAAGCCTAACAGGAGGTGGCGATTAGCAAAGCACGAGTTGGCGGGTCCTGCAGAGCAAGCAGATTCTGGAGGCAGGTCATGCGGTGGCGTGGTGAGCACCTGCAGACAGGCCCGCTTGCATCCCTATTCCCTATTCCCTGGGTTGCCAAGGCCCGGCCGAGTACATGGAGGTCGCCGCATTTTGCCTGCCTGCTTGCTCTCTCAGACGTACACATGCACACAGCGAAGACTTGACGATGGGTTTGGATCGTGGAACTGGAAGGCCGAGAGTGTTGGGTTTTGCTGAATCAATCAAGTAACTAAAGTAGGTACAAGAAGAAAAGGAGATCCATCCAGCTCAAGGTCGGCACGCTAGCACAGGTAATAATACTATACACTCCAGTACAGCTGAAGCTTAGCTGACTTTCTTTTTATTTTATTTGGTACTCCACCACGACTTCCAAGTTTCAACAAAAGGCAAGGCAATCAGTTGTCAACTCCCGGAGCTGACCACGCTGCCTATATACGAGCTCTCGAACCAGACACCATCTGAGCTCGAGCTAGTTGACTTTCCCCCAAAAAAAACAATTATAAAATTTCTTGATTTTCCAACGGAGGAGCTAGACGACTTTGAGCAAAAGCAAAGGCTACGTTCGTGCAACTTGTCAGTTCCGAACTCGGCGCGCGCCTTGACTTGTTACCTTGGTAATACGTGCGTACGTGGCCACATCCGAGCTACCCGTTCGTGGGCTGGCTGCGCGCCACGAATCCACGATTGAGCTTTCCAATAAATACGTACTTGGCTTTGGCGCTCCCGTCCCGCCTGCCGGGTGCCGGCCGTGCCACTTGCTCGTGCAGCTCGTGAGCTGCCAGGTATGCTGATGCGTCGAGCGCCGCCACTTGGTCCTGGCCTCTTGGGCCTCCGCCTCCGGAGCCCCCGGATCGGCCGCTGCACGAGCAACTTGCCAACTTGTCCCGGCGCGGCCGGTTGCAAGTGCACAGCGCATCACATCGATCATCTGCAGCTGGTCTCCGTGCCAATTACTCCCATTTGGGGGTTGGGGGGCGCTAAACACTTGTTTTACAGTCGCGAGCATCGCGATCAAGGCCGTTCAGTTGTTCACCGTTACTAATTAGTAGTGGTACTGTAGAGTATACGATCGTTCGTCGCAAGTGGCAACCGGAAGGCGGCAGCCGCCAGTTTGGGTGCTCAAAGGACCTATGGATACGTGGTTTTCCGTCCCAGTTTCCCACCCTCTTGGTTGGGCCCCCACGAGACTCACTCCAGACATTTTGTGCAGCCTGGGAGTTGGGACAAGACGATTAAACAAACCGTTCATAACTGCATGTCGCTATATTTGTCATGACACCCTCTAGCTAGTTGGTTGACCAGATCAAGGTGGCCTTTAGTTCCTATTGGATCTTGGTGATCACTGGGTGATCACCATTCATAGGTAAAACTGCTTTTAAGTTCCTCACGAAATATTTAATTTCTAGCCCCTTTGTAAATTTGAATTTTAGATAATTTTCAGTGTGCTACCGATTTTAGGCCAGCTAACTATGTCATTCTATCGCACTACACACTGCCCATTTGTTTCCACCGGTGACCAGTTTCTCGTGAAGAAAAAAACCTGAACAATAACCATTGTATTGTTCATGAGCTTTCCACACATCTGTATCATAGAATCAATTGACCGATCTCAGGCCTGCTACCTATGTCATTCCTATTTCCTAGACTCCTAGTGTTTGTAATTTAGTTGAGACCGCTTGTTCACCTCGTCTAGTCAGTATCCTTGATACTACAAGTTCCTTCTTCTTCTTTTAACGTAGTGAAATCTAGTTTTAATGTTGATTGAATTCGATATACTTATTTTTCCCATATCTATTCTATCCATATTGGATTCGTTATTTATTTTTCCTTGTATCTTTTTATAGATGTAGATTGTTATAATTTGGATCTATAAGGGTATGTTTGGATCTCATGAATTGAAACCAAAATCTAGAAAGTTCTTATTTTATTGTTAGATTACATTTCCTTTCCTCTCAATTCATGGGAACCAAACAGGGTGTAAGGTCAATGTAGTAGTTTTCTTTTACTTGAGAGTTAGGAATTTTTAAAACTTTATTTACTTATAGTAATGCACTACATTTTATTTTGGCGTTTGTTTTATAACATATGGAAATGAAACTACTATATTTTGTAAATTTCATTGTAGAATTTAAGTATTTATTACTAATTATAATTTATATGGACTACGTATTTAGCTACATTAGGCACTTTTCCTCCTAATTCATTTGAAGACCAACCAATTAATTTTTCATATTTTTATTCAATTTTTGCCTATTTGTGTTTTACATGGACATCCAACTTCTATATTTTTTCTACTCCAACTCATATGGAAATCAAATTACTATTTTTCCCACGTGACAGTGAGGAAAGGGGAGAGAGAGACGGACGGCTTAACTATTTTTTCTACTCCAACTCATATGATCGTCACTGCTGTCAGCCACACACACCTTGGAAAATGCTGGCACTATAACACAACATACTTTTGCCGACACTTTCTATTGTAGGCAAAGGGCACCTTTGCCGACAGATAACCTCCCGCGAAAAGTTTTGCCGACAGTTTAGAAACAGTCGCGCTAGAAGCCGTCGGCGAAACTTTTGCCGACAGTTAACAGAATCCCCGACACTTTATGTGTAGGCAAACGGTCTACCTACGCCAACAGTTGAAACCTTTGCCGACAGTTAACCCTTTGCCGACAGTTAAGATCTACGCCGACAGTTAAGAATTTTCCCGACAGTTTATATGTTGGCGAAACCATTTCCAAGTATTTTATGAAACATGCCCTCGTCAGCGAGTAAACCGTTGGCCGCGGTGGGCGGATTACACGGTAGATGCGGCCGCTGTGGACGGACGGCTCCGTGGAAGTAGTGGCTGCGACCGAACGAGAGAGTAGGGAAATGTTATGTTACTTGGGGCAGTTGCCTGGGCCGGTCCTAGGACCGTTAAGCGAAGGGTCCGTCCATCGGACGCTCTGACCCTATCATTATCGTACCTCGTACACAAATAGACATACATGATCGATATACGTGGTTTGAGATCACATCCTAGAACTGGACACGAGAAATTGTTTGAATCTTTAGGTGGGTTAAAACGTATGGCCCTGAATCGAACACGCCTTAATCTCGATATAACTGAAGGAGCAACTGGATCGGATCATCGGAGTCCACGCCCAACGTGACACCGTCCGTCCAGTCCAAGTAGAAAATTGCCTACATGGCCACGTGCATGCCAAATACAAGTAGGAAAGAAGAAGAAAAAAAAACAGCCCAGATCCAGGGCGCTCCAGCCCGTGCACGTACGTACGACGCACGTTATGGCGGCTATATATATATATATATATATGCCTTGTTTAGATTCTAAGTTTTTTCATTCTCTCTCTATCACATGAAATCTTTGGACACATGCATGGAGTATTAAATGTAGATAAAAAATAATTAATCATACAGTTTGATTGTAAATTACGAGACGAATCTTTTGAGCCTAGTTAGACTATGATTGGACAATAATTATTAAATACAAACGAAAATGCTACAGTATTAAATATTGATTCGTAACCGCGAACTAAACGAGCCCTTGCAGAAATCTACGGTTACAAAGTACTGTACATTGGCATCCGGCATCCCGGTCACCTTAAACTAAAGGCTGGTTGGCATGCCGCTCTGTCTGCCTCCAGCCTCCCCGTCCCAGGGGCAGCGCCGCCGTCGTGCTGCGAGCGTACTTTTCCCCGCCCACATGGGGAACCGGAACGGAATATGGATGGGTGTGGCAAAGGCAAAGCGAGCAAGAGGGCAAGACCCCCGGTGGGCGGTGCCGCGCGTCCGTGTGCACGCACGCCTGCACTGCGCGGTGGTGCCCCGTGCGTGGCTGTCGCCGGAGCCGAATCTACGCGGCGGCGCCTGCTGGAAAGACAGGGGACACAAAAAGAGCACTTTTATTGCCGCCGTGGACGAGCCTTGCCAGGGAATAAATAAAATGTCCGATTTCAACGATCGTGACTTGGCACTAGTTGAAAATGAAGAAAAAAAAAGCCGCATATATGCATAATGCTTCTGATCCAGATGAGCCCAGACCGACGAGAGGGACAGCGAGCGGGCGGGGCCGGGGGTACGGTCGTTACCTAAACCACCGCTAACCATATCGCGACGCAGGGGTGGCGAAACACACAAAACCGGTGCGGTATACTCCGGATGCGGTTTTGGTTTTGTCACAACTTTCCTCTGTCGTACTTCTCGGGTGGGTCCCCCAAACGAGGTGCGTGCAGTGCACCCGTCCATCCATGAGACCTTGATCCATCCCCCCTGGCTCCGGACGCCGCGCTCAAAAGCAGCAGCCAGGCCAGAGGCCACCGCACATGCACATCCTCCTCGCTCGCACTGCACGCACACACGCACCACAGTCCACAGGCAGGCAGGCAGGCAGGCGGAGCCGGATCGATCAGGGCCGAGCAGAGCAGCAGTAGCAACAACACTCCACGAGCGAGCTATCGCGCGCGCGGAGCCAGCAGCCAGCAGCCAGCAGCCAGCCATGAACTTGAACCGCCTGACGCCGGCGCAGAACGGGGCGATGCGGCCGCCCTCGGGGCAGGCGCAGGGGCTGGCGCGGTACGGCTCCGCGCCGGGCTCGCTCCTGGCCGCCATCGCCGAGTCCGTGACCCGCGGCGACCCCGCGCCGCCGCCCGTGAGCCGGTTCTACTCCGCCGAGTCCTCGGGGCTCACCTCCTGCGAGTCCAGCTGCCGCACCGACGGCGGCGGACGGCCGCCTCCCCTCGAGCGTGCGTACGGCGGCTCCGGCGAGATCCGCGTGCCTCCGCCGCCGCCGCAGCAGCAGCAACAGCATCAGAAGCACCCGCTGGCGGCGGCCCCGGCGGCCTCCCCGCTGTTCCGCCACAGCAGCTCCCCCGCCGGGCTGCTCTCCCGCCTCATGGGCGACCCGCACGGTACGTATGCTCTCTTCGCCTCGCCGATTGCCCGCTTGCCTACTCCATCCAGCTCGTGTCTCGATCATCGTTTCCGGCTTACGGTAATTAGGAGCACGTTGAATTTGAATCCAAGGTAGGAGTAGGAGTAGCAGTAACTAGCAGTACTGCATAGAGTACATGACGGTAACTGTAATTATTGCACTTTCAGCTTCAGCTAAGCTAGCTAGTGATCCGTACTCAGCGCGGTAAATGTTGGTCAAGTCTTTGGTCTCGCTCTCGCCTCGCTGATTTGGGTGGCTGGCATGTGCCCGGTGACCGTAGAATAATACTCCTCTCCAGCTCTGCTCGCCCAATTGCGTTGCGTCGTCGTTGCTCCGATGATGCGTGATTAAGGGCACGTTTGGTCTGTGACCAGGAAAGTTCAGCCTTCCATAGCTATGATAGTGAACCAAGCAGTTGCAAAAAAAAAAAAAACTGTGACATGACCGACCTTTGACATGTCTATGTTTTGGTCTCTAAGCAAACACGCCCTTAACAAACAAAACTCCGTCTACTATTTATCGCAAATCAGTTATTCCTACTGTAATTGAGTAGTCTAGTAAGTATTGATCACCTCATCGTCGCATACCAATACGTACCATTGACTCGTCATTCTGACGCGAGTCGATCACCGCCAGGCACGGGCCATGTTTAGTTTCATCGAAACTCCTAACTTTGACACTATGTAAAAAGAAGATTCCCGTCACATCAAACTTGCGGTATATGTATAGAGTACTAAATGTTGACGAAATCAAAAACTAATTGCACAATTTGGTTGTACTTTGTGAGATGAACGTTTTAAACCTAATTAGTCAACTATTGGACAATTATTACCAAATAAAAACAAAACGCTACAGTGTAGCTACACCGCTGGAAATTCCGGCGGCGCCGATTCAGGAGGCAAACTAAATGCGGCCAAGGCTTTAATTTTTTAAGAATGGTGCCTTTGCCCTTTGGGCTTCGGTAGTGACTAGTGACAGTTGCAATGCACTGAAAATCTGAAATCGGCGTGGCCAATACCAGATCAGACCAAGCGGCCTTTCCCATCCAGGTTCGTATATGCTGCCGACGTCCGTGACGTGACGCGACCGTTCGTGGCCGCCCGTCCCGCTGCGATTGCGAATCCGGACGTAGCAACGGCGAACCTGGGCGCCGATTGTCACCTGTCGCACCGTTCCTCCAACGACTTTTCCACTAGAGTACATAAAGAAGAAGAAAATCGCGAAACCGAATTAATAATACGGTCTTGACGTCTTGTTGGGTTTGAAAATTCATTTCTAGCATTTTGCCAGCACGTATTCCTTTCGTCCCAGAATAGACGACGTTATGAAATATGTACTGACCAAACTTTCTCAACTTTGACTAGATTTATAGAAAATACGTGCAATATTTATATCTCTAAATAAATTTATTATGATAGTATATTCAACGTTCTATTTAATGATACTCCCTCTATATAAAAAATAAAGTCGTTTTGGACAGCGACACGGTCTTCAAAGCATAACTTTGACTATTTATTTTTATAAATATATTTATCAAAAAGTGATATATGTAAATTTTTGTGAAAGCATTTTTCAAGACAAATCTATACATATGGTTTTCACATTTTCAAACTCAACAACTTAAAAGTTATTCATGATTTATATTCTTAATGTTTGACCCAGCCTTATCGAAAGCGACTACATTTTTTTAGTACGGAGGTTGTACTAATTATGTATTATAAATATTAATATTTTTTATATATTATTAGTCAAAGTAAAAAAACTGACTTTTTTGAAAGCGAGAATGACTTTTATTTTGGGATAGTGGGAGTTGTGTGGAACGCGTCAGCCTTATATAGCATAAAAAGATCGATGGCAACAGCCAGCTTTCGGGGAACAAATCTTTCTAACAATGGTAACCACTAGCCGAAAGAATTCGAGAACAACAAATCTGTCTAGCAATGGTAAAATGTCCCCCCTAAAATGAAAGGAATTATTAAAAAAAACAGCGTCAATGAATCAATAATTATACAAAAGGATGCCTTTTTTACTTCAAACTCCACGAACGGTCACTGACATGTGGGCACGGGTCAGCTACAACTCCACGAACGGTTAAGCTGCTTCCTCATGAGTCATCATTTCGATTCTGATGAACAGAACAGATGGTTGGGTCTTGCGAGTTGCGACATGCACGAGCACAGCTGACGTGTTAATTCTTTCTGATGCAGGAATGGCCGCGACCGGAGGGATGGGGAGCTACTCGCAGGCGGGCACCGACGCCGCGATGGCTCACGGCCACCGGCAGCTCAGCTCGCAGTGGAGCTTCTCCAGGCAGGACCTGCCGCAGATCTCCGAGATGGGGATGATACCCGACATCGGGGAGAGCATCGTCGCCGGCGGATGCAACAGCTCCAGCGACGGCGGCGGCGGCGGCGCGCAGGCGCAGCCCTCCTCCTACCTCTCCATGAACTTCTCCGTCAGCTCCTGGGACGACACCAACTCCATCATGTTCTCGTCCCCCAGCAAGAAGCCCAAGGAAGACCCCGCCGATGACATGGTCACTAGCTTCAGCAACATCGACTCGCAGGTCAGCGCGCGCCCGCTCTTGCCTTGCCGTGCCCCGGCATCATCGATGGTGTGGTTCCGTGCTGATGGGAGTACGCTGTTTTTGCTTGCTATGTATGTCCAGTTCGGCTTGTCCAACTCGTCCTTGGAGCTGCCCGGCATGGACGACTACCTGCAGCTGCAGCAGGACTCCGTCGCCTGCAGAGTCCGTGCTAAGCGTGGCTGCGCAACTCACCCGCGGAGCATTGCTGAGAGGGTTGGTTCAGTTCCCAACTCATTTGCTAAAGCGCTAGTAGTATCAAAGTATGCAATGCTGTCAATGCAACTTTGACACTGGATGTTAAAACTGAAATCAATTTTGTTTTCCTTGTTGATTGACGTTCAGGAAAGAAGAACAAAGATTAGCAAGAGGCTGAAGAAGCTGCTAGATCTTGTGCCCAACATGGACAAGGTAAATTAAGCTGATTAATTGCAATAAGCCATAGCCATTATCATCCGTAGGTTATTCCCCATGAATTGCTGAAACTCAAGACTCGATAAACAACTGAATCTAGCAGTTCTCGTTGTTTGTGGCTTTCCATTTCTTCAGTGTGTTTATTAGTGTTTCTCCTGAATGTGCAGCAAACAAATACGTCGGACATGTTGGATCTTGCTGTAGATTACATCAAAGAGCTCAAGGACCAAGTTGAGGTACGCATCGCTTGATGTGCAACGCGCTGCACATTTCAGAAGTCCTTCGCTAGATAAATTAACACAGCCAGCCAGGCCCCATTTATTGTTGACACGTGTAGCTGTAGTCAGCTACTATTCCACTTGTTTTCAAACCAAACTAATATTTGTGCCATACCTACAAACAAAAATATCTCTCTTACTATGCTAAAAATGGGTCCTTGCAGAAGCTAAAACACGACCAAGCAAACTGTTGCTGCCTTGGCAACAAGAGCTGCTGATGCTGGAGAAGCAGATGGAGGAGGGTTTTATGTTGTAACAATGCGATTGTCAAACCAGAGTTGTTGCTTCAGAAGATCAGGCTGCAGAACTGCGTCACATGTCGAGCGGCTTACTCAGCTTCCTCTTTCTTGGCTGTACCATGGATTAGTGACTTATTGTCAACGGCTTCAAGACTAGGAGATGACAAGTAGGCCATTGTAATTTAATTACTGTGACGCGGTGGCTTATGTGTAAAAAGTCCTCCCTTTCAACGCAATTGGGATTGTTGCTGATGAAATTATTGTAGGAATATCATGTGTGCTCATGTTTCACCGAGCTCATTTTTGCAGAATACTAGATTTTGACACGACCGTAACTCAGGACCAGTATGAGCACTGAACATTCATGGCATCCTATACAAGTCCAAGAGAATTTTAAGATGATGAGAACTTGAGCATTCAGCTTTTTTATGCAGCCTTCCTAGAGAACCTTTGTATCGAATTGAGCAAAAGAATATTCTGCTCGCGCTCATATACTCCCTAGAGGCATTCTGTTGTGCAAAATGATTGAGGAAACTTTACATGATCACTTGATGCTGGGCATGGTACCAGGTAGCTCAACTGATTTTCTGACTGGTTCTCGAGTTTTTTTTTTTTATTTATACATCAAACGTTGAAGAACAGAACAGGTCGGTACAGTCAAGCCAGGTATAATTTCATATTTGCTCTATGGTTGTGTCGAATTGGAGCAAAATAGCATCGTTAAATCTTGAGCTGCTCACAGTTATGCAGCTGTCCTATAGAAGAAGCTTAGGTACCGCAGTCCCCGGTTATCTACACACCTCGCCTGCAATTTTACAGGGGGGTTATTGGTTCCGAGATAAGAATAGAATACTGAAGCCACAATGTAATTTAGCAGTGCAAAGTCTGCTTATTGTCAGATTTTGTACAGTGCTGTACTTACAGTCTTGATTGTGTTCTTACAACAGATGGCTGAAGTGCGTCGTAGTGTCCATAACCGTCATAGAGAACGCGGACTGGATCGTCCTTTCCATATTCCTGGCCATATTCTGCTATGATCCTAGGGCCATCAGAGCTGCTTGTATACATGTAAACGGTGATGGGCATCCTGCAATGCAGCATTTCTCAGTTCCCACTAACCATAATGAACAAAAGGCTGCACTTAACACAGATAAGTTGGCCGCCAACCTGAGAACATGGGAACACATGAACAGCTCAGGTTCTCCTCCCCAAGCATGAGGCTTTCTCATCTGTCTCACATAATTCTCAAAGTTGCCTTCAAGGAACCTATAACATCAAAAAAGAGTTAATGTGACATAGTCGTCTTTGTATATTTGAAGCTAAAGCGTATTCTTTTGACATAGAATTTTAAGGATGACAGTACTTTGAAAGACTTTTATCAACAAAGGTGTAAAGTAGCCGTATGAGAATATATTATTTTGAACATATTCTTTTCCTGTTTACTCCCAGTGGAGAAAAATTGTCCAGGCAATATATCAGTAAAGTAATAATGGAAAGAGGATGAAACCATTCAGTGTCTCCTCTTCTCTTGACAAACTCGTCAGCTACCTGGAACAGACACAACAGCAGGTTAACAATAATACAGACGTGGAAATACAAGAAGACCGCAACGCGCAACATTACAGAATTCTTTCGAAATGCATTGAACAAGGATGCACTTATAATAATCAGAAGCCCAGGTGATGGACACTCACTTTGGCTCGAAGCTCGTCAGCCAGTTCCTTCTGGGCGCTGTCGCTCGGAGGATGCTTTCCTCTCCTCAAGCAGGCGCCATAAGCGACGGACCTGAACAGGCATCGACCGTCCCCTGTGATTCCTGTAATCAAACGTGAGGGCAGCATCAGTTCAATTCATAAGGTATGTTCTGTAAACCAGAACATCTTGACGATTGAAACCTCCATGGGGGAGTGCCATGTTCGCTTGTCTTATAATCCATACTTTTCAGCTTGTTTTTTCAGACGGAACAGTATTTTTCTCTCACAACAAATCAGCCGGAAACAGTGTTTCGGCTTATTTTTTCAGCGAAGCGAACGGGGGCAGTAGCGTGGATTCTCAGGTGGAGATAATTTGTTTTGTCGATCTGGTTTCTGATCTCTGATTTTTTTAGCAAAGCAAGGACCCACTTCGATCTCTGATGCAGCTTCAGAACTGCTACCATAGTATACCGTTATACACACATACACAAGCAAAAGGATTGGTGGAAAAGGGAATATATGTAGAGATAGAAAAGGCATATTGCTGCTACACCATTGGTAGCTTATCATTGTTAGGGTGTCTTTTGTATAATCAGCAATGATGCAGCCACTTTGTTCCTGATCGCGTCCAAAACCAACGATCTCTGAACCATAAACAAGCCAGGAACCGCTACCAGAAGGAGCAAGGAATCATCGGCCCGATTTCGATCACCGATCGACACCAAAAAGAAAGAAGCATATTCTTAGTGCTAGAAAGAAACACGCAGGGAATGATTGGCGCTTGGAACATACTGATGGAGCGCAGAGGGCGGAGCTCCCGATCCGACATCCGCCGGGGCCGGGGCGGCGGTGGCGATCCTCTCCTGCCCCTGCCGGCTGCCGGTGCCGGGCACGGAAGGGTGGAAGCAGGAGGACGCAGCGAGCACGGAAGGAGCTGCAAATGGGACGGGATGGAATGGAATGTAAAACAAAGCGGGCAGAGGGGGGACGTGGGGCTGGAATTGGAAGGAATTGGATTCTCTCGCGGCCGTGGTGGGCGCAGCGCACGCCTTTTTTCCGCGGGGGCCTCTTTTGCTCTTCCAAAAAAATTTCTACCGTTCGCTCGGTTGAGTGGAGCCGTGGAGGCCTCGCCTTGCCTTGCCTTCGGTCGATCGGATCGGAGCCGTTGCCGCTGCGCTGCCCTGCTCTCTTCTTGCTTTCCCGCCACAAATAATTGATGACCGCCTGACCCGTGGCTTTCAGATTAACCTCGTGGTCGTGGGTGGACGGAGATTAAAGCAGCAGGAGGGCAGTTGATCGACTGAGCTGCGCAAACTGCAAAGGCAAGGAGATGGATCCAACACAGTCCGCCCAGCTAGCCTAGCCACTCGGGGTCCGGGGCCCTGTGATGTCGGGGCCGAGGCGCCAACGAGCATGGCGTCGATTCCGTGTGGCTCTCAGCTCCGTACGTTCGCTCCTGTCGGCAGGATGTGCGGATGCCATTATTTCCCTTCCATCTGCGACCTGGTGTCAATGTCCTTCTCCAGCTCTGCTCGCCTCACTTGCTGTCAATCTTACCCAACCCTACATTGTCGCCACACGCAGCAGTGCGCTAGCCTAGCCAGCAGATTTCTGGAGCATCACCTGTCTTTCAGTGATCAGCAAGCCTGTTCTCAGCTCTGGCATCTAGACCTCTGGTTAGATTTTTGTCGCTGTACCATGACTCATAAGCTAGGCTCATACTAGCTCATAAGTTTAAACGAACAGGACGTAAGCTTAGTTCCCATAAGTACTAGTACTATCTACGCCATGTTCGTTTGGGCTTGTTTGGCTTATAAGCCGTACTTTTTCAGCCAATGAACGGTATTTTCCTCTCACACCAAATCAGCCAACAGTACTTTCAGCCATGACTTATCAGCCAAACAAGCCCAAACGAACGGGACGATCTTCGTGCAAAGAGTAATCATTAAGGCTGGAGAAACAAACAGTTGCTTGCAAGCTGCAAGTCGTGTTGGGTTTTCAAGGGGGAGAAGCGTCTGATCTGAAAAGGGGGTAGAGTATCAGAGACCGAAGAAGAAACAACTGTACACATCTCTTGACAAACTGGAAAATGCCCTACATCACCCCCCACCGAGGAGGGGGGGAAGAACATCAAGGTTTTTACTCTCTTTTTCACCCCAAACAAAACAATAACCCAGAGATGAAGAAGAAGAAAAAGACCAGGTGGAAAAACAAGACAGAAGATGTACATACCCACTCATCAACTCAAACACTACTCTAGCACCCTAGCACTGGTACAGCGAGAAACCCCTGTTCTTAAACAGTGAGCTCAGCGTCCTGCCCAGCTTCCTGGACTTGGACTTGCACAGCGGCTTCGATTCCCGGTGGCACACGATAGCGCCGCCGCCGCCGTTCCCGCCCTCCGCCAGCTGGCTCTGCAGCAGCTGCTGCTGCTGCTGCTGGGGCTGCTGGGGCGGCGGCGCATCCCGCTGCCTCTGCTCCCTGAACAACTTCAGGAGCTTCTGGGCCTTCTCCCTGCCCCTCCCCGTCCCGGCCGCCGAGATGGAGACCAGGGACGGGACCACCCCTTCCTGGAGCACCGGCGCGATGCACTTATCGTCGGCGCTGCACATCACCAGGAGGCACGACACCGCCTGCTCCTGCTCCGTCGGCTCGCCTGTGTCCAGCAGTGTCGCTAGCGTGCTGACCAAACCGGGGGTGGACATGATCTCCTTCCTGCCAGATTGGGTGGCTGCGAGGCTGATGAGCACCGCAAGAGCCTTCTCTGTCCAACCAAGCCCCTCCGACTCTGGAGAGTCCGTGACGAGGCAGTGGAGAGCATCCACAATGCCTGCGGTTAGAAGCGCCGGGACGCTGGCCTGGTGATTCGAGAGGTTGTACAGCGTGTACAAGGCGTCATGCTTGCAGGAGCTTCCTTTCGTGTCGCTGGCATCATGGCTATACAGACGGTCGACTAGGAATGGCACGGCCTGGCTCGAACCAATGACGGCCTTTGCATCAGGAAGGCAGGAGAGATTAAGGTAGAGTGCTGTGGCAGGACCAGATAGGAGTTGATTCGATATCATCTGTTCAAGTAGATCGGCGACTCCAGCAGATAACAGGAGTCCCTTGTTTCTGAAATAAGAAAGGGTTTTGATAAGAAAAATGCTAGGCAAAAATACTTCACTAAGTTTAAGTAGTGATATACTCTGCGTATTTTCAACTAGCAACAATCAGCGGAAGCACCACACAACTAGGAAATAATACCTGTTATTGTTGACTGCAAGATTAAAAAGAGCCATTGCACCAACTTCTTGTGCCTTCTCATTTCCATCATTCACAGCATTCCTCAAGAACTCAACCAGTGCCTCGGCAAAAGCCATTTGAGCCCAGCTGGATCCTTGCTTCCTCGTCGTCTTTCAAAAGATACCTTATCTGCTCCACCAACCTGCACTGCTTGTTCATGTTACTTCTTTCATGAAGCAACAGCAGCAAGTTCCCATAGCCCTCGTTCAAATCGAAATCATTACAAGAGCTGTCATCCAGCGTCTCCGATTCACTGTTTGCTGGCTCCTCCTTTCTAACAGTCTCCATTGGGACAAGCTTGACACTCTTTGCATTAGTACAATCAAAACTTTCAACAGACACACAACCTGTAGCCTCAGTGTCAGAGAAAGCAAGCCTCCAATTTACATCAAAAGTTCCTGGTGGACCATCAGGAACTGGAAAATCGTTCTGCTCACACCAGCTGGCAATCAGGGCCTTAACACAGTAGTTTGGAGTCAATGACAGGTGGGCAAGTTGCTGCTGTGTTTTAGGACATGTGCTGTGACCATCATTGAACCATTTCTCAATGCAAATACGCTCATAAGTCTGCCCAGATGAAATGATGACTGGATCATACATGAGTTGTAACGAAATAGGGCACCTAAGCTCTTCAGGAGGGATTGACATATTCTCAGACCTTGGACCACCACCACGTCTGCAATTGAATGGTCCAAGCCTAGAATTGAAAGATCCAAACCTTGAATTGAACGACTGAATGCTCGAAAGCTGTCTACTGAATGCCCGACCATTGCTGTACGGCCCATACATATCATCCATGCCTAATACTGTTGGCGAGCATGGAGACGATCCCTGAGAATCTGTATCATCACCAGTCTCACTTCTGAAGAACTTTGAGTACTTCCTCATGAGATTGTACAAGTATGACACAACAAGCTCCTTCCGCTTGTCTTCATCAGAACGAGCCTTCTCAATTAGCTTCTTAAGGGCTCTTCTCTCGGTGAGTGCTGCCCTAGAAGATGTAATTCCCAATTTAAGAGCAGACATATGGAAGACCTCAAGCTCCCCACTATCACTGGAACCATTTGTTTTATTGTTTCTCTGGAGCAAATTGATCAGCTTGTCACCAGCTTCCTTCTCTGATCTATCCAACGTAAAAACAATTTCCTCCAGCTCACCAACAATCTCCACAAGCTGTACAGAAACATGTCCAGGATGTCAGTACATACCATGCACTGTAATAATCGCAAAACCATAAGCCACAAAAGCAAAACGTGAAAGATTGGTGAACCAAAGATATTGACTACATGAGTTTTATGCACAATATACCTTACAGCCGATATCTTCTGTTACTATGCTTCCAGCGCGCCTTAGACTCTCCTGAAGCTGGCTTCTAGACTTCTCAAACTTTAAAAGCACAGTTTCCGAAGTGATGGCCTACAAGTGAAATATAATATCTATTAAAAATTGATCCGATTGCAAAAATTTCCAGAAGAAATGCCTTACAAATGAAATAAGTTTGTTGCAGTAGTAGTAGGGCAAGGGGAATAAAGAAGTTACCAAGTAGAGTCTGCTGCAGTCTGCACAATGTTGAAGAAGCCCTTTGGCTTTATCAAGAGCTACATGTAGTGAACACAAGGCCTGTATACCAGACTTGCTTCTGGGTCTTGATGCTTCGATAAAGGGGAAAATGGCGGAAAGCTTAGATACAGAAGGATGAAATGCTCTACAAATTCCTGCGTGCAACTGCATAAAAACCAAAATTTCTTCAGATTCGCTGCGAAATTAAGCAAATCACAAAACGGAAAGCTATAAGGTCCCAGTAACTTAACACAGTACAAGTATAGTGTTTGCTCAATACAGTACAAATTAGTTTTTAAAGAAAAGGAACCTTATAGAAATCAAAGCGTTGTGATTGTACTAACCATTGAAACAAATACTACCTAAAGAATATGGAAAAGAAAAGGCAACTCTCATTGATCAACAAACATAACAGGTTTTTAAGATGTACTGTACTTACAAAAAGGTAGGCAAGCAACAGATTAACAGGAATACCAGACATATTCACTGTAAAGATGATACCTTGGCATCACTAGCCAGAAAAGGATCTTCTTCGGCCTCCATTGCTTCCATCGTTGGCTACTACCTGAGCTCCAACATCTGACTGCAAGAATCACAAGAAAAACAGATAACATTAGCATTTCACTCTGAATATTTCTCAAGGCCTTTTCTTAGGCTAAAAGGAAAGAACAGGGCTGGCCATTGTAGAATGGGGCAAATCAAATGTCCAGCTATTACTAGCAGAAATGGAAGAGTTAAAATCTACTCGCAAGCCCGCAATACACTGTTCACGAAGAATAAATTTTGGCTCCCATAAACAATAAACAGCCCACTGAAAGGGACGTTCCCTCTGCAAATTTTGAGATTTCCAGCCACTTGGAGCCCAATAATTTTTTTTTTCTTCACCAAATTCACACATTTTTGAACAAATGTAAGGCGCCAATTACCCAGTGAGCAGCATTTGACTATTCTTGTGCCCAAAAATAAAAGAAGAAAAAATATATGATGTCGGCAGGTTCAGGGATGGACTTTTAGCGTGGGCCATGGGACTTTTTTTGGGTGGGGGCAGGAGAGAACGATCTTGCGCGCTGAAGAACCTAGCCGAGGCACAGATGGATGAACGGGATTAGTCGGACCTAGCGCGACGGAAAACATAAATCCACAACTTAATGCTCGATTTGATTGCTCATGGCCACAGCGAAGGATGAGTTCCAAGAAAACGACCTCTCCGAGCATCCACTCAAACAAGCTAAGACCACTCACCCAGAAAAGAAGAAATCAATCCACGCCCGGACGGATCTCCACTCCGCTAGAGTGAGGATGAGAAGCGCCGGCAGCGGCAGCACTAGACAGAGGATCCAGCACGGGTAGTATCGGCGGAAGGAAGGGTCGGCCGCGTTGCGTAGCAGCGCAGGGAGCTTGGTTTAGTGTTCAGAAGTCTTCAGAGCCAGAGCCTTGTAGGGAGGCCGGGCGCGCGCGTGGAGGAGCGGGAGGCCGAATGCAGTGCTTGCCAGTAACCACGCTCCGGATTTGATACCTGCCCGCAGAGACGGCAGACAGATCTCCCCGGCGAGGTATCCACGCGGCTCCGCAGGGGTCACCGGCGACGAGGGAGGAGGGGGAAGAGCGTGGGGCGGTGGGGGAGGAGAGAGAGAGAGAGAGAGAAGGAAGGAAGAATAATGGAGACTGGGGGACGTTGGAGCTGAGAGTGGATTTTATCTGATTTCAGGGTCTGAGCCCGGGGGAGTGAAATAAATGCGTTTTTATATTTTTATGTTTTTAACCTGTAGAGTACCCGTAGTGCTATTATACGGAACAACACTCCACGAGGTCATCCTAAAATTCTGCATCTCCAATCACGTGGTTCTAAATGTTTGGGACGGATTCCGTGGACAGTAACTTCTCGCTATTTTTTCTAGCTTCTACGGCTTCTCCACTGTTTACCTTTGGCTTCTCCTCCTTCTCATTCGAATCCAATGAGACAAATATATATCGGGCTTCTACTTCTCCTTCCCCTTCTCTCTCCTCTCCGCTCTCTCTCTCCCTCCCTCGCGATGCGGCAAGGGCGACGACCACGCCACCGCGGCAGCCTCTCGCTCCTCCCCAACCCAGCCTGTGTGTGTGACCCGAGTTCTCGACGGTTGCGCCACCATGTGGCTTCACCCCGACACAGCCTTCTCCCGGCTGTCCCGTGCGCTTACGCTTAAACCCTAGTTGCACATTGCGGCTTCCTGGCTCCATTGCGTCGTGAAATTCTGCCCGCAATACGATCACAAAAGACAATCGCCAGCTTCAAACACGGGTGCCCCATTACGCCCACTTGGCGCTGCAAGCAACCCCAAGACGGGCGGCCCTATGACGCGATTCGGCCGGCTATTGCTCGCCACGTCGGTCTGCGTTTGCTCCTCGACGCCCACCTCGTCTCATCCCTTCTGTTGTGCCCTCTCTTTCCTTCCTATGTGCCTACTAATCTAATCATTGTTTGAGTTCGGTTGTTATATGTGCTATTGCCTTAGGGATCAATATGCATGCAATTCACAAGATCGCTTAGGATCAACTATACATGCGAGTTCACAAGATCTTTGAAAACAAAACGAAAAGATTAGAGAAAACAAAGATGAACAGATATAATATGTTTACAGAGGGCTCATTTGGAGACTAAAGCAAATTCGTGGATCTGTCTTTGAAAAACCAAGATGATAGATGACCGGTTCTCACCATTTATTGCATTGGTAAGTTTGTCTTGTGGCTATTGGTTAGTATACTTAATTAGCTCAATAATAGATTGTAAAAGGTGTTTCACCCTTTGTGCGTTGATAAGAATAGACTGTGATGACGCTTCACTTGTAGAATGTGTTGGTTACTAAATAACCTCTCATTCTAAATGAAAAAACAATTACTTGATGTCCTTGATTGATTGCTCTATGACTACCTTTTGTAGTTTAGGGCTAAAGCAAAGTAAGGTCCAGCTTTTGAAAATAGGGTTGTGGTGGAAGGTTTCTCACTAGCAAAGTGAAAATCTTGAAATGAAGCTTGTGTGCTTCTTTGCACTAATTGCATTTTGACGCTGCTTCTGCTTTTACTTAATTAGGATTGTAGAGTAATTGAAAAGGTGCTACCAAGTATGCATACTCTGTATATATCTTTCAGTTTTTGTTCTTATCCATTTTTTATTGCGCTTTCTATACATCGGGTTTCTAGCTCAATGTCAACACCTCTCACATTCCAATATCTGAAATCTTGGAAATATGAGCAAAAGCATTAATACATAACTGACATAAGCTACGCTGACATTAGAAGTGGATCAAATGACAATATATATGCAATTTTGAGATCTAAAGGCATGTAATATATCATACAAAGTATTATCCGCTGCGTTTGCTCCTCCAGGTACGCCCACCCTGTCTCATCCCTTCCTGTTGTGCCCTCTCTTTCCTTCCTATGTGCCTACTAATCTAACTGTTGTTTGAGTTCAGTTGTTATATGTGCTATTGCCTAGGGATCAATATGCATGCAATTCACAGTACTGCCTAGGGATCAACTATACATGCAGTTCACAGTACTGGAAAAAAACAGCAAAAGATTAGAGAAAACAAAGATGAACAGATATAATATGTTTACAGAGGGCTCATTTGGAGACTAAAGCAAATTCAGGATCTGTCTTTGAAAAACCAAGATGATAGATGACTGGTTCTCACCATTTATTGCATTGGTAAGTTTGTCTTGTGGCTCTTGGTTAGTATACTTAATTAGCTCAATAATAGATTGTAAAAGGTGTTTCGTCCCTTGTGCGTTGATAAGAATAGACTGTGATGACGCTTCACGGTAGAATGTGTTGGTTACTAAATAACCTCTCATTCTAAATGAAAAAACAATTACTTGATGTCCTTGATTGATTGCTCTATGACTACCTTTTGTAGTTTAGGGCTAAAGCAAAGTAAGGTCCAGCTTTTGAAAATAGGGTTGTGGTGGAAGGTTTCTCACTAGCAAAGTGAAAATCTTGAAATGAAGCTTGTGTGCTTCTTTGCACTAATTGCATTTTGACGCTGCTTCTGCTTTTACTTAATTAGGATTGTAGAGTAATTGAAAAGGTGCTACCAAGTATGCATACTCTGTATATATCTTTCAGTTTTGTTCTTATCCATTTTTATTAAGCTTTCTATACATCGGGTTTCTAGCTCAATGTCAACACCTCTCACATTCCAATATCCTGAAATCTTGGAAATATGAGCAAAAGCATTAATACATAATCATATATAAGCTACTGGCGACATTAGAAGTGGATCAAATGACAATATATATGCAATTTTGAGATCTAAAGGCATGTAATATATCATACAAAGTATTATCCGCTGCAAGAAATGTATGTATGTAGGATCTCTGGTACGCCTAGAGGGGGTGAATAGGCCTATAAAAATTTAACTCAAACCGAAGTCAGATTCACCCATGGCACTGCCGCTCTGTGAGCGCGGCACTACCGCACCTGCAGGAGAGATTAGTTCACAGTTCAAAATCTTCCCAATGAAATTTAGATCGGGTAAATTGATTAGCTTCCTGCAGGGTAGTAAATCACAGATCGACAGCTAAAAGTGGTGGGAACACCGCACACAAGTAGATCGACCTCAATCCTAGAAATCACCTCAACAACAATAAGAACACAAGCGTAGCAACACAAGCACAAGATGACACAAGGATTTATCCTGTGGTTCAGCTCACCACCAAGGCTTGCCTAAGTTCATGTTGTTGAGGTATACCACTAAGGTGATAGGGTTGTGCAACCCTACCTCGTTCTCAAGTCAAGAGAGTGAACTCTTGATATGAGGAGTGATTTTACTTGCTGTAAGAGGTGATTACAAACCTCCTGGGGCTGGCACACAAGTTGGCAAGCCTCACAGGCGATGCTCTAGCCGGCTAGGAGACAAGCTTCAAGAGTAACAAACACAACTGTCGGCTAAAACGTGAATCAAGTTCTCTTTAGAATTTGGGAATCAATGGAGTTGCTCTCTAATCAAGTTTTGGACCCTTTTTCCCTCAAGGATTGATGGAAAAATCAATAGATTTGCTTGGGGGCTTTAGGTTAGTAATGGAGTGAGAGAGAGCTCCAGCTCTATTTTGGGCGTGCTGAAGTGAGAAAGAAGAGAGTAGATTGGTTCATTACTGTTGAAAAGGAAGGGGAAAGGTATATATATACCCCACGGCCCCCAACGGTTACTTTAAATCGTAGATAGCCGTTGGCGAGGAAATGGAAAGGTATATATACCCCCAGCCTGTAACACCCCGGTGTTATGCCTGCATTTCGGCACTGCTAATCATACATATCATGCATCATCAAGCATCCTAATCATACATGCCTAATCATGTAAATAACAATTGAAACACTGCTTCGAAACATTTGAAACATGTGTGAAACCTGAATGTTGCATACACCTGTTTAAGAGTTGTTTTGCCCTGATTTTGCTTGCTAGGTTAGTGAAACATGTTTGGCTACTATTGTAAATCATCTAGCAATGTTTAGTTCAATTTTTGGAGCAAAGTTTGTATTCAAATTAATTCAAAATTTGGCTTCAAAAATA